CTTCACATTGTTAAAGGAAAGTATCTACACTATTTTCAATGATTGAGCTTAATTTTTATAAAAAAGATTTGGGTATCCATTTTATTGATAATATATTTACATAAAAAAGCATAAGACAAGATTTGTATTTGTTTTAAATTTTCCCTGTTACATATATTTAAAAGGTTTGACGGATTGTTTTTTAAAAATAAAAAAAAATAATTAATTGTTGGAGAAAAATTTAGATCACCCACTTCATTATGTACAGCCAAAAGATGCCCAAAAGGAAAGGATAGTATTGTTCAAAGGTCATACCTGATTGTTTTTTAGATCAGCTAATCTTTAAATTTTTAAATCCAACATTTAATTTAGAGGACTTTCAGTCTCGAATAGCCTGTGTTTTACAAGACATGGCGGATATTTGTATAAGTAACAAGAAGTAGGCTTCTGTGATCACATAGTAAGCACACAACGGTAGTGGACGCGTTACAAGATGAGTGTAGGTAGAGGTTATGGATAGAGTCATCTGTATACAGATCTAAACCATCTTTTTAACACTATTAAGTCGTATTAGTGTTTGAAATAGTCGGGAGCAATCGGCAGAGCTGGTCGCAATCAACATTATTGATGATCGAGACGTCAGGAGCGGCAATAAAGGCAGTGTTTAGAAGACGTTCAGTAATCTGACATTTTTGATAATCCAAAAACCCCAACAAGCTGGATTAGCGAGCATCTACTGTACTCCAATAATAATCAGAAAATAGCTTGTTCAAAACAATAACCATTTGTCGTTGATCAATTGGCTATCAAGAAATAGCACTGGCTAAGACAGCTGATCTTGGAAAAGCTACAGAGATTATCCCATTTCATTCCACGCTCACTCTACATTCATATTAATTCTCAAATGTGTGTACAAAGTGTGTAGCTGTCAAAAGTGATATGACAAGCAGCTATCTGATGAGAATCTTTCAAGACCTAGGTGAAGATTTTGGTGACTATTAGAAATGTATAATAACATGTGACTGGATAGCTGAGGTTGCTGGTTTAATCACTTTTAGTGGATCAATGGACCCACCCACCTTTTGTCATTGGGCTTTCTAAATGATTGGCTAAAGAATCAGTTGAATTAAGTGTAATAAGACTATCATCTAATCAATTTCAATCGGGTTCACCTTACTCTACAAACTCTGGCATCTTACTAGCATAAATCTAATGTTATTAGATCCACCAGAACTGTGTGCAGAGGTATTTTCAGACTAAATTTGTTCTAGCATTCAAAGTAGATTTTTTTGTAACGTAAAAAACCACATTAATTGCTCAACCTATTCAGGTAATGCCGTAATACCATGAATACCTTAACACCTTAATACCTCTTCCGTCGTCTTTTACCCACAAAGTGGGATTGACAGCGTCGCTTAACACGGTTACTGAAAAAAATATATATTTACAACTATTCACAATACTTCTGGTAGGCTACAGGTTTCTTAAGTCATCCCTTAAGATATTCTGAGATGTCATAATAGGCTCTTGATGAAAGAGGTTAATACTGCCTCAAAAGTGTTTAGATCTAACAACTGGATGTGTCGTGGAAGCTTATTAAACAAACTTATGGCGGACACACTGTAACTAGCTTGGGTCCTACATAATCGCACACTGGGTACATCAAGCTGACGGCGTTGCCTGGTGTTATGCTGGTGGGCGTCATCACGAGTGCTGAAGTTGGTTATATTGGCCCTAACGTGCACCAGACAGAGTATGTTGTGGCCAACTACAGTAAGCAAACCAAGTCGTGCAAAGAGGGGTTTTGCAATGACCACAATACTCACTCTCAGTAATAATCCATACTGCACACATCTGGAGCCTAAGCACTTCTATAACCTTTGGCGAGTGTCCCTAGAGAAGAAAGCCATAGCTGACATGGCAGTGAAAGAAGGCATGGTACACCATAACCAAGTAAGCCTCCGTTACGCAGAATTTAAGTTTGAGGAGGAGGAAACAGATCTGTGAGAGTCTGTTGGTGGTCTGGTCTATGTGATGTGTCCAGCTGAACTTCCAATCAAGAACGAATCTAAGCAGTTTTACTGGCAACAGGCTGTTCTCTGTAAAGGCTGCAGATGATGTTCTGTGTCTTATCCTCGTTGAGTTGAAAACGGTTAGCCACAAACCAGGCAGTTGTATCCTCAAGGCACTGTCTGGAGATGTCCAAAGCCTGATCGATGTTGGCACCAGCTGACAGGAGAGAAGTGTCATTCGCAAACATGAGGGTAGTTCCAAGGTTGTCAAGATCATTGATCACGATGAGAAAAAGGCTAGGTCCAAGAACTGAACCCTGAAGAACACCAATATCGACAGGTAGAGTGCCGGAGACAGCTCCACCAACTGCAACGACCTGCGAGCGTCGTTGGAAAAGTACTCAGGATGGCAAGAGTAGCATCCCTGATCTCATAGAAGAGGAGTTTTCTTTTCAAGATGGAGTGGGAGACACAATAAAACGCCCTACTGATATCATATAGGGTCAGGGAGAGAGCTTGACAGTTTTCAAATGTGTTTTCCACGCTCGCAGCAACTTTCGCAACAGCATCAACCGTTGACCTGCCCTTACGGAAGCCAAACTAAATGTTCGAGAAGAGGTTAAGTCCCTCAAAAAATACTTTAAGCTGGGGTTTTAGGTAGACAGGTGTTGCGGCGATGGGCCAATAGCTATTAAGCCTCTGGTGGTCACCCTTCTTGTAGATAGGGACAGTTTTCGAAGTCTTCAGAAAGTCCGGTAAGACGCCACAACTCAGGCAGTCGTTGACAGCAGCAGCAAGTGGAATGGCAATGGCATCAATTGTTTTTTGAAGTATGTAGGTAGACATACCAAACACATCAGGGCTCCTAGATGGCTTGAATGATAGAACCAACTTTCTAAGGTTGTGAGAAGTTATAGGTTGGAAAACCGATAAAGTATCAGGTGGAGGATTTACTCTAGATTCCAGAAGCTGGATGGGGTCCTCATCTACATCAGGTAAGGCCTCAACGATAGTTCTTAAATAAATCTTTATTGGTCATTAAATAACAGAGTTACAATAGACCTCCTCAACAATAAAAAGGTGAAAAAAGGGCCATAGATTCTAGTTAGTATAACACGTAGAAACAGAGTCAATGAAAAAACCATTGAAGGTGTCCAGGCTTGCAAAGTCAACAGGCCGTCTAGTGCATGACCTGTGCGAGTTGATGACATCCCAGGCAGCCTTAGGCCTACAGCAATTTGGGGCATGTTCGATCTGTGACTCAGTAGCCTTCCTCTTCGCCAACTCAATCCGTCCCTTATAGTGAGCCTTGGCCTGTCTGTACCTTAAAAAGTAACCACCATTTTCACCGCCAGCAGACCTATATTGAAACACCCCTATATCATAACACCCTTCAGCCTAGCCAACTCATCCGTATACCATTCATTGTGACTAGCTAAACGTTTAACCTTTTTTGTCAAATGAGGTCAGTGAAGTCAGATTTTTCAGGGAAAAACATAAAAAAAAATCTCCTGAAAATGTTGAAAGAAAACATACAACTTACTGTTAACACCAGCAGCCCAAGAGCATCATCCCAAGATAAGATGTCATCCCAAGGGGTGTTGGCAAGTGCCTATCTAGACGTCCCATATGGACCAGCTACAGTATAGCCAATTTTTGTTAAAAAAGGTGAGCCAGTCACAGAATGTGCTAGTGTCTAAAACTATTTTCTACCTTATTTTTTGTTGCTGGCCAAGTTGATGTTATAACAGTTGCTACAGCTCACAATAAGTCATTCCATTAGTTTGAATTGGTAAAAAAGATTGTGTATTTTACAGAAATCAGTAATTTAGATCAGCACAATCTGTCGGTGGCTCACATCAACTACGACCATTTTGGTTAAAAAAACAGACGACAACTTTAACATGGGGATGGAATGTTGTTGAGCGGAGCGAAGCGAAGCTCTTTGGGATCAATTTCATTGCAATCTTTATAACACTTAATCTCAATAACGGCTGAACATATTTTAGCCAAACTTACCAAGGTTGTTTTGTCAAATGTTTGGATGGTTTGGACATAACCAATTTCAATTTTCGATAATGCCTTTAAAATTTAAAAGTAAATCAAAGATTTAAAATTTTTACATTGGCCTTATGGGTTGCCATGATGGTTACAACATAACAACGTAAATGTAAACAAAACATAGAATCATAGCATATATGTTAAAATCAAGCCACAACCTAAACACAGTACAAAGGGAAAAAGTTCTGATGATGACAACTGATCAAATAACACAGAGAAAGTCTTAGATTTACATTATTTAAGTTGCAATTTGGAAACGACCACTGATCGAATAGGTACAGTACAGACATAGATAAAACATACTTTCTTAGGTACATTATGATTTATGTAGCTAAATAAATAAGTTTATAACAAATAAAAGTCTTAAAAAATTCGTCGGTGAATCACATTCATGGTTCCATTTCATAAATGGTAAACTCCACGACATAGGAAGTCGTGAAGGAAGTAGTAAATGCGAGAAGTTCGGAGTGTGGGAAACGTTTATGGCGTGGCAGTTAGATAATTGTATCTAAAATACTAAAATGCTATGGGAAGGGGGAAACAGGTCCACGACGTAGGAAGTTGTGAAGGAAGTAGTAAAGGCTGGCATTGCAGAGTGTGGGAACCGTTTGTGGCAGTTACATTAAAGTGTCTGCAATCCTAAAATACGATGGGAAGGGAGGGAAACAGGTCCACGACGTATGAAGTGGTGAAGGAAGTAGTAAAGGCTAGCAGTGCAGAGTGTGGGAACATTTGTATTTTGTGTTATATCTATAAACACTTTTTCATTTATTGCTTTATTAAAAAATCATGAAACATGATTGCTCTGCTCAACTGGCTTTCATTGCTATGAAATCAATTCCAGTAGTTGAAGCTGAATCGTACAAGGTTAGCATCATCAACTAGCCTAGAACTAGTCAACTGAAGATTGACTGAATAAATTATTGTTGGTGAACATTTGTTACATACCTCAAAATAGTCTCTAGCTTCGTCGTTGTCTAGAAAAAAGTCCTGGGCAGCAGGTTCATCTCTACAGTAAGCGACATGCTTGTCAAAATCTCTCTCCTGCAAAGATAAAAAACGGTTATAGTATTTAAAATGACTTAGAAGAACCATAAAAGAAAATATGGCACTACTCTGACTTCTAAATGTTACTCACTACCCAAACCTGTCTAATCAGTGGCGGCCCGTGAGCCTTGATCGGGTTTTTCGGGAAATTTTACCCAGACACGGGCTCGTAATTGTGTGACAGGCTCAGCCACACGGGCCACCTATCATAACAATATTTATATGAAAATTAACATACGTTTTCTATGAAAAAATTTGTTAAACCCAGTAAGAGCACTAGGACAAGTAGTTTACAACAGCTTAACTGACACTATTACTTGACCAATCGATATAAGTTCTCTACCAGGCTTAGTTTTCCTAGTAGCCCTAGTAGAATAATCGTCATCAGTCATGCAGGTTGCATCAACAGTCCTCGTGGAGTGTGTGAAGGCGCTATATATAATAGTATTAGTATTTTATCCTCCGGCCTAGGAGGATAAAAGATTAATGTTTTCGTTAATCCTCTTAGGCCCCGGCAGGGCACATTAGAGAGGGCCCTCAGTGCTGATTTAACTAAATGAAATTGAAATTTTTTTACGATCAAATCGGCAATTTAACCTAGGTGGCTGGTGCACTAGCTAATAAATAATTATATTCTTTCATTGACCCTAAAGATGGATTTTCATTTCATTTCATTTCTTACTATTAGGAGGCTGCACTTTATATTTGTTTTCTTTGTACTTTAGATTTGTTTACTTCAAGTCAGGTAAAAAATTTTACTTACATAATAGGCCTTGGGCCAAATCAGATCAGTTTAAAATCCAAGCAGCCTGGCCTACAAGGTTGAGAGATCAAGCACAAAGTCAGAAAATCAAGCTTGAGCTCGGAAAACGTTATTGACGTTTCTTTTTCTGGGAGTAAGATATTTAGGATTTTGCCGCGATTGCAGAAAAATGATTTTCCCGTCCCCACGGGTCGTGGGAGATATTAGGGATTGGGCCGTGAACACGGGAGACGATGATGTTGTTATTTGATGATGTCATAGGTTTGGTTGCAATCACGGTAGACTATGATAATGTTTCTTACATGACTACGGGCAGTATTCACGATTTTGCCCAATAATGGAAGACGATAATGGTGTCTCAGGACTTGGGAGACGCCGTGCCAAGCTAAAGTGCAAGTTTGTGCGGTAATACATAAGATATAATGTTTTTAAAGATTATTGTGAGAGGGGGGCCCGGCGAATAAACTTGGGGGGGGGGGGGGCAGATGGGCTCTTATAACCGTCACTGTGTCTAATGACTTAAAATTAACTCTCGGAAAGGTAGTTATAGTATATGAAAAACTTCCGATGAGGTGATCCTCCAACACATGAAGATGTCTTTTTTTTAAACTGAAACTAGTTGCAGCACACACAATAATTGGAATACACAGTAAGTTGGTGGCATAGTCAGCAAGCCATTCAATCATGATCCAGTCATAATTGTGAGTAGTTCGTGTTGCAACACCACTAGTTGTATTGGCTGTTTGAGATGTCTGCCTTCATTGAAAAATCGTACAACCTGTGAGGTGGATACCGTAATAAGAAGTCTGAATGTGAAAAAAAAACAAAAAAAAACTGTAAACTGATTGAAATTTATCAAAAACTCTTAAAGAAGTGTATTGAGACAACATTATCACTGAAGGTGAAGTGTGTCAATGAATGGATCATTAATTTAAATATAACCGAACAAACTTTCACGATAAAGAGCAAAGTGGAAGACCCAGCATAAAGTTTCTGCAAAAGTTTGAAAAAATTAATGGTTCACTATAACAGAACCCTTACTTAGTTTTCCACAGATTCCAAGAAGTGTTTTACATGAAATCTTCACAGATAAACTAGGTTACCACAAGTTTTGGGCCCGATGGGGACCAAAATTTTAATAGACAGCCCCAAAAACCAGGGTATGGCTGCAGCGTTGATGTTTTTGGACTCTATCTAAGCTGGTGACTTGCTACTTGATCACATCAAATAGATGATAAAACATGGGTTTAACATTTGAACTGCAGCCAATCATCTGTAAGCTTAAAAAATGTTTGTAGAAAGGTTTTTAGCAACCTTTCTTGGAACAGAAGAGTGTCATTCTTGTGGAATCACACAACACTCAACTCGTAAAGGTATTGCCAAGTTGAGGGGAAAGTTGGGCTCAAAGATTTTGTGGCTTCATGACAATGCTCGACTCCACACGGCAAATCAAACGGAGTTCTAGAATCTTTCGACTGGGAGTTGATCCCACATCCACTAGCTTATCGGTACCCAGACCTCGGGCCAAAGGACTACCAAATATCAGGCAATGCGGCATTTTTAAGACAATTCATAGCTACAGTAAGATAAGACAAGCTGTTTGAAGGCGCAAGTTATTGGAATTTTACAAGAAGGAATTTTCAAGCTTACTTTTCCCCATGATAAATGCTTGAATTTTGATAAGAATTTGTCGAGAGAGTGTATTTTTAATTCAAGAGTGGCTTTCAAATCTATATGATAAACAAATTTGTCAAAACGTAATGTACTTTCTGAATAGCCCATGTATATCACCCTCCAACGCAATCAATGTACAACGTCTTGCTAGATTAACCTCGAGAATTATCAACCTCAAGGATTATCAAGGATTACCACATCAAATTTTGGGTTTCATCCCTGGAACTAATTAACCTTAAGGGGTTTGGATGGATTTCCTTTAAAAAATATTTGTGATCTCTAATGGATATGCCAATGAAAGATACTAAAGGCTACACCAAAGGTATGCCAATCAATAAATTTCTCTTTATTGAGATCTCTTTAACATGTTCAGTGCGGCATGCCTTCAAACAGGCGCTCGCCAATGGCGGCAAGACCCGGGCACCACGCAACTGAATCGGTGAACGCAAATGGCATTCAAATATTTCAGTCTGACTAATAAAAAAAAGAGCAGCGGTGATTGTGCTGCGTTAGCCCGAGAGTGGACATAGTTCACTGAAACACCCAAAGGTAGCAGCACTGCCTGGATCCGTATCCAGTGTCTTTGTAAAGTGGCTCGAAAAGAGAAAATTGCCGGACTCGGGACAAAAGCATTGCCAGACGGGATTTTACGGAAAATTTTAGTACTGACCTACACCAGACTAAAGCTTATATTCTAAGCTACAGGCTGGCAACGATTATAACGTTTCCCGGCAATGGCTGAGCTCACATTGAAGCAAGGTTGTTGGCATTGGAGAAGGATGACATTTCCCGCCCCGCGTCAGTGGTGCCGGTACCGCGGGGTGTGGATTCCCGCCCCTAGCACTGAACGTGTTAAGAAATACAATTGAGCCTTATCCAATCAGGTGAAGACTAAAGATTTTATTTCATTGTAGTTGTTAGCCTCCGGATTGCCAAATAATATTAGAAAAGGTTCAAATACCTGCTATTAAGCAATCCAAATTTGTTGTTAGCACAACTAGTTTCAGCGTCTGTGTGACTACTTCTGTCGTTTGTCTGTGTTTGTTGTACTTTGTTACACATGTTACTAGAGATTTTAATAACATGACTACGATTAAATAGATTACAAATCTTCTATTGCATTGAAGATCCAAAACAAGTCTGGGAAAAATAGTGTGAAATGAAATGAAATGAAATGAAATGAAATGAAATGAAATGAAATGAAATGAAATGAAATGAAATGAATGAAATGAAATGAAATGAAATGAATGAAATGAAAAAATATCTTTATTCATATGGTATACAGTCGCATACATTGAATGGCGTCACTAGGCTTAAAACTAAATAAAACTAATCTACAATTCATCGAAACCATAAAGTGTTTTATCAGTTAAGAAATGTTTAAGTTTTTTTTTAAATTTGGAAATATTATCAATATTCCTCACCTCAGCTGGGAGTTTGTCCAAAAACCTTTTCCCTGCACAGGTGGTTTTTTTGTTAAAGAGCTCCAAGTTATGGACACTGACAGCAATTTCGTTTCTGTTCCGGGTAAAATAATTATGACAATCACCAAGTTTAGGGACCAAATTAGCATTAGAAAGTTTTTTTGTGTGTAAAATTGTATGAAAAACATAAATACTATACACAGTCATTATTCCCAATTTTGAAAAATATTGACGAGCGGAAGTATCCCATTCTAAATTTAACATAATTCTGATTGTGCTTTTTTGAAGAGTAAGAATTCTATCCAGGTTTTGCTTAGAGGTACAGTGATAAATACTTATGCCAAAAGATATTGATGAATCGATAAAAGCAAAATAAAGAATCTTTAAGGTTTCTATTGAGCAAAATTTTGACATTCTATTAATAGCATGGATACCAGAAGTAATTTTGTTGACTACCTGGTCAACATGCTTATTCCATGTAAGATTTTTGTCTACAATTAATCCTAAAAACCTTGTTGTGGTGATTTCTTCCAATTTATTATTTTGAAATTGAATTACAGGCTGTACAATTTGTTTTCTTTTTCCTGTTGTAAAAACCATAAAATTACTTTTGCTTAAATTTAACAAGAGCTGATGAGAATTTAAAAAAGTATTTAGCATATTTAAAGTATCAGAACAATGATTTTCTAAATTTGATAAAGATGAATTGCTGATTTTAAAAGTAACATCATCAGCATACAGGCAGATATTACTACTGTGTAAACTAGTTGAAAATGGAATTGACAGATCCCTAATATAAATGAGAAATAAGATCGGTCCCAAAATAGACCCTTGAGGTACCCCATGGTGAATCTCTGTAAGAGGAGAAGATCTTGAGATTAACCTGTTATTTGTCAAATTTTTAATTTCAACGTATTGATATCTGTTAGAAATATATGATCTAAACCATTCAAACGAAATGCCATCAATGCCCAAACTTATTATGGTTCGTGTTGGTACATAGTGTATTGATGATTACAGGTGGTGTAATCTTTTTAGTCATTACATGAAATGGCTTTGAGGCAGAAAATAAATGCATTTTAACTCACCAACAATGCAACAATATTCATTGGTCAGTGGTCACACTAAAATTAATATTTAATGTTTCAAGCAAACCTACCAGTCTAAGGAATGTTTTTCCCAGCATTTTGGGCTGCTCTGCGTAGTACCTCAACCCTTCAATGAGAGTTCTGAAACACAAAAATTATTACAATTCATTAAATATTCTATTATTAGGACTGTTTGTCACACAAAAGATTTAAATTAAATTACTGTACAGGATGGATTGGTGGTGGTAATCCAGACGGTTGTCTCCACTATCTTAAGCCGCGTTTACACAATGCCAGTTGGCAGACAGGCTACTTGCCTCAGATAACTTGAAATACATTAGAGACAAGTAACCTGTCATCACCTGCCTGCTCTACGGGCCTCGTGTAACTACTTCAGCTTCGTGGCTTTATCACTTTAGTCATCAATTACTAGCCCAAGTGACCTAACCAAACAGTATTTCACTGTCTTTAGATCACCACTCATTAGTCTATGGTAATAAGCAACTGAGATTAAACAGGTACAATTTTCATTATAACTGTGTCCTTGCTACCTGTAGTTGAATCAACCTAATGGCTAAAATTCTGAGAGTGGCAATGATGGATTCGGCTAAGGTTTCCTAACTCTCAGACAACAAAACCTAGTACAATAAATTGCCTGCAAACAATTTAACCAACATAATCAAACTAAGGAAGCTTCCAAGATTCATGTTAACGCGTTGAACTTGAGTAAACTCATTCAAAACCACTTCAACAATGAATCTTCTTTCTATAGCAATAATAATTGGAAAACGTCAATATTTTTTTAGCATAAACAATTTGTTCACTATTTAGGAATACTGTATAGGGTGTTGAGGGTCTATGTCATGTAAACTGATAGTGACCATGGAAGCTGGCGAAACCTTTAACTATCTTTAGCCAGACTTCACATGATAGAGACTGAGTTTCCTCATGATTGGACCACACCAAATACCTTCTCCAACAGAAACACTCAAGCCAGAGTGCTTAGTAAGCCAGCCTCCTGTGTAGTGATGCCTTCCCTCAGGTAACTACCCAACCAGCTCTCGCTAGCTACATCATCTGTCACTTGATAGTGTAGGCTGGAACTTTGACAAGATTCTCAAACCATCCATAGTGTATAATACTTCTTAATAGGGATGGTCAAGTCTCGAAATTTCGGGAAATTTTAAATCTCGTTACACGAGACGAGATTTCTTTTTGGCCGAGATTTTTATCGAGACGAGAATTTAAAAAAATAAAAACGCCTGCAGAAAGTCAATGCAATACCCGCAATACAGGAGCGTGTTGTAGTTGCGTTTCCTTTGCGAAGGCGTTCTTATTTAATTAATTCTTCAAATGTAAATATCTATATATTAATTATTTTAATAACATTTGAGAAGTTTTGTTAACTGTTAGCAGTGTGAGGAATGTTTTATTACTATAAAAAAGTCAAAACAAGTAACTATTTTATAAAAATTAATATTTTATTTTATGATTTATTTTATTTTAGGATAAGTTGAACTCTATCCTAACTGATATCACTATGCTTCCTAATCGTAGGCATTTTTAATAATTTAGGCGTGATTAATAAAAAAATGTTATGCTGATGTTTTTTAATAAAAGATTGTAAATATTCTTGCCTATTATCATTATTTTTGTATTTAAACAGTCATCTAACAATGTTACAAAATCAGGTAAAAATTCCGAACGTGCATTTCTCGTTGTGTATGAGAAGGGAAATCCCGTCTCGATCTCGTCTCAAAATTTTATGAGAAATAAAAAATCTCGTCTCGTCTCGAACTAAAAATCCAATCTCGTCCATCCCTACTTCTTAACAAATAAATACATGTTTCCACTAGGCTGTAATGAAATGGCAGTGACAGTAGATCTTATACAAGAATTAGGCCACAGTTTTTTCCATCCACTAACAACGTGGGAAAATCTTGATGGAAGGTGTACTTGTGCTGATCAGATTTAAATCATTCAGAGTGAAATTAAAACTTGCATTGCACCATTGTTTTCCATGAGCATGCCATGCTCCTTGTGTGCAAACATGTTAGTCAGCTCCATCTGACACCACCAACGTCATGAGTTGACACAGACTGTACATTAGGATAAGAATGAGTGGGAATTGCTTGACTCAGATCTCTTGGGCTGTTGTCCTTCATTTAAGTAAAACTGATATAGCCTATACAAGAACAAAATTCTCAGTTTCTCAAATAACCTCAAACTGAATAGACCTTTTCTTCATGTGTAAAATTCAACTTTACCTAGGTATGTGCTGTGTCCTTTATCGTAAAAAATTAAATTATAGACATAATTTTCAGCAGATATGTTTAGAAATCTATCAAATTAACCATTATTGCAGGTAGAACCAACATAAAAAAATTATAATGACAACATCCCACGAATCACGGACAAGCACATTGGACAAGCCCTACTGAACACAAATGGCCATTTAGATTTGATCAAAGACAGCCTCCAATTTTTCTAAGTGCTGAATACCGTTAACTAAATGAGGAAAAAATTTTATTTCCAGAGAATATCTGCTTCCTTTTGAAAGCAAACATTCCTTAAAGATAGACTTTAGACAATACTGTTTATTGAGTAGTGGGAAAGAGTAGGATGCATTGCTTGACATCCAAGTGCCATGATGTCCAAAGGAAAAATAGAAAAAACTATATAATAGCGTTTTTATGAGCTTTTTCACGACGTTCAATATAAAATATTTAACTGTTGCACGACATTCAAATCTCACCATGTCCAAAAGTACAGTAACTGCAATAAACACTGTCTTTCTACAAGCTCTGGACGTCATGAGATCGTTGTGAAACAGCACACTTTTTACTCTTAAAAAAGTACCAGTTGCTCCACGTCCAAAGCCGCTGCCAGTTGCATGACGTCCAATGGCTATCAGCGCTGTCCCATGACGTCCAAAGCGCCTGCCTACTCTGAGTGTTGTTTTAAATTCAAAATTATCTTTATTCATCAAGTACATTCGGAATATATACATGAATAGTGTCACATTTCTTAATGATACCATATGTAGTGCATACCTAACATAAACTAACCTTGCTCTGTTTTGCAGCTCCTGTCTCGTTACTTAATGCCAACCATAAGCACCTGATTGCTCCCTTTTGGGATAAGAACATGTACTAGGATAACTACTATAACCTAGGGTATAGCAATCTCTGATGAGATTATGATTTGTATGCATCTTGTGTCTCATATCAATATTATATTCCTTTTGCACGTTAGCTGTACATCCTCTTGTGTGTCTTCACTACTTACTTTTGTATGCACTATTTAGTAGTAGGGCCTATCCTACAATTTAGTAGTATTCGTTTGCATCTTGTGTCATTTTAGTTGTAGGTCTTATGTAAGTTGTACGTCTTTTGAACGTTAGCTGCTCACCTTTGTTCACTTATTGTATTTAGTATATATTATTGCTTGTTTATCTCCCGAATGTTACTTCTGCTCTTATTTAAAACCACTATTCTTGTTTCAGTAAATGCCAATTATTGATATTTGCTATGCATTTGCTATTTATTATTAATTCTTTTTTATTATGTTTCAAGTGCTTATTGATTCTTGTGTGAGCATGCATGTACTTTTACCAATTGTATAGATTTGCATTTTTGTATGTATGGTTAATGGTATTTGTTGTACAATGGGTTTAGCCACAAATAAACAAATTGAATTGAATTGATGAAGTGTGGTGGGTGAAAGAGTAGGTAAAAAAGAGTGCCTCTTTTCTGGACCACAGCTAAATTCTAACTCAGGTGTTAACTTCCAAGCACTCCATCTATATCAAGCATCAAGCATCATCCCTAAACCCACACAGAATGACCTCTGGGTGGGAGAACAGGTATGGAGACACCATAAAAGGAACATAGTGCTGAAATGAAAAGATCTACAGCAAGCAGAAGAAAAGGAGCTTCACATAGACAAGATTGGAGAGGCATGGTGGGAACGAAGGAAATAAATCAAAGATGATGAAAAACACTTTTAATTCATAAGTTATGCCAAAGCTGAATAGTAGGCCTATTTAATTAGAAGCAGGGCGTCATAATTTTTTTGTTATACAAGATTGAGAAGACTTAAGTTATTGTTTAACAGAATGTCCAAGGGTAGGGATAACCTCCCGACTACCCCATAAGCAGGTTAGTGAATACTTTTAGTCTACCGTGAGAATAAAAGTTTTTCCCATTTTATAGCAAACAGGACCGTATTTAACATTGAATCACTACGTCAAATAATAAGTTTACGAGGCAACACCAACACAAAAAATCTAGATTTCTGTTCTTAGTAGGCCTACCCTAGCAGGCCTTTTGTTAAACTAACAGCACACTCTTTATATATGTAAACCCATTCTCAATCATTTATTTACTCAACAAATAAATAAATTTCACTTTCTAGGCTACTTGTTTTGTGATTGTATATAACATGAATACACCACAAAGACCGACCCAAATTGTAACCAAAAACACACTTTAACCCAATACAATGTTCACTACACTACTTCATTGTGACCAAGACTAATAGGACCTACTTACGTATTGTGGAATTCAGAGATCTTCTTGAGATTGCCGAAGATGACGTCTTTGTTGTCTCGTACGACTCTCGGCACACTGGGGCTGTCCAGGGGTTTGAGATAAGCATCTATGACCTGCTGGATGTCTCGGCCAAACTCTTCCTCTGTTTCTATCAATTCCCTTACTACGACACTATAAAACATAATTTCACACACATTAGTTTAGACAACAGATCGTTCATTCTACATAACATAACCATTTTAAACCAAACTACCTACTACTGGTATATTAATTAAGCCCCTAAGGTTGATATCCTTCTATAGACCTATATCCATTCATGCAAGTATAACTAAACAAAAACGTCTGCAATCTATACCCTGGCATGCTTCAAAAATGATGACAAACTAACTTATGTTAAACTTACACTGCTGGTTTTACACACATCACCAATGAAAATCCAAACAGCACAAGTTTCAGTAGCATAAAAGGATATGTGACAAACTCTGCTTGGATATCTTGCAACAGGAAATTTCTGTAATTTGACCACACAAGGACAAGTTTGTGATTTACTTTAACGCGCCTTTTACTTAATAATATGTCCTTTTTCCTTTTTCCTTTTAATGTGTCACGTTTTTTTTTAATAATATGTCCTTTATTTTCACTGTGTCTGGTTAAAAACATAGACATGTCTTCTTCCGCATCACACAGAATCTGACCTTACACCAAGTTTTTATAATTTTAAGTTCGCGTCCGGTTCAGTGGCAGTGGACGGCTGCACGGATGTCTGCCGTCACTGGAATTGTATTATGTGAGAGCTCTCATGCTCTTCTACTTCTACACACAAGGCATACTAGAAAAAATTGCTCATACAGTTTTTAACCAGACGGCTAATACCGTATAAAGTGAAAAGAGCGTAACTGACTATTATACCGGTAATTCCATCCCATTGTCTATACACAGACTACAGACTAGACTTCCCATGTAATGTAAAATATTTGAAGGCAAGAAAATATATGAAGTTCAGGACCATCTCACTGAGGGTACTAGTGTATTGGATTAAATATTAATTAAAATCAATACAGTATCATAGCAAACAGCATATCGATTTATTAGTTGACACATAATATTGCCATTATTTGGAAGACCATCCAACAGATATTGCATCACACCTTTTTGGCTTCAAATTTTTCTATTACTTGGGATGTCTATTCTGTGGTATTACCATCATTAGGCCTACTAAACAGGTAGGGAGGATGCTTTGTAAAATAGCTTGTAAGTGGCTTGACTTACAACTAAAAAGGTTCTTAAAAAAAATTGTGTACACAAAGGAAAACTCGAGTAAAGCACCCTTCCCAATTTACACTCAATATATAATCTGCATATTAAAACTTGGTCTAAAATTGTTATATCTTTAAAACATAAGTGACAGGACTTACTCCCTGTTGAACTTTGCGTCGTTTGGTTTCATGTCGTCGGGAGAGTCTTCGTGTGTGCTGAGTACAGTGGCTGGGACCCACCCTTGTCTCCCAGGGTCTTCTATAGATTGGACCAACCATCTGCAGACATAGATAAAAAAAACTGTTATTTATAGGCCTAGCACATGATGTGGCAACCAGAACCAGTATCACAAATAAATGGTGAGACATAAGTTTGTCCTAAGCGGGGTACACATGTGAACTTGACTTGTTAGAATGTGTTGTGTTTCATTTGCAATACTTCATAGATAGCTGCTTTACTGATATTTAATTTTGACCTTTAAAAACACACTGTATTACTATGTAAACATATATATTGAATCATTAGGGCGTGTTGTGTTTCATGTTATACTCCATAAAATCACGTTTAGCTGTTTTACCTCTGTTCAATTAAGTCCTACTTACATGCAAACAATTAGTCTATTCTTCTTGATCTTGGAATTTATATGACAGTATATTACTATTCAAAGTACTAAATGGTTCACATTACAGGAATTGAACTACAAAACTGCCACGTACCAAAGTGTTTTAGCACCTACATATATCACATTGACTTGGACATGGATGAAATCACATATTACAATAAACAAAGTAAACAACCCTGCCGGGTACTGACAGATTTTCGTGTTGTGACAGACGTATGTACATTCACCGTCCCTGATAGTTGAGTAGGAAGCCATGGTGGTGAAGGGGGGGTTGTGGTAACCACAGAAGGTGAGAGGGGGTGTGGGGTAGGCTGTGTAGCTGGCAGACGTTATGGCAGCAAGCTCCGCGCAGGGTGGCTGCGATTGGGTTCAGCTCTCAGCCGTAGTACTGTCACACATGCAAATAGATCCAGCATCCAATTTTTTGCCCCCCCCCCCCCCCCCATAAAAGCCAATTGCCTTGCGCCCTTGTCTTGTGCCTACCGTGCCTATTCGGTCAATCGACTCTGGCCCTCAATCCACTATATCTTTTTTGTTGCCAATGCACTGTCAGTTTAGTACTGTAATGAATAGAAAATAAAATAACAGCTTGTTAATTGACAACAAAAAAAGATGTAGCATGTTTTATAGCAATCTCTATTTTCTCAAATAAAACATAGAGATGACAATAAAAGATAAGAGGACAAAAAAATATTCTTTTAACACTTCCTAAGTAAGCAGAAAATTGTAATGAGTACTGAAGTAGCCTACCTATTCAATAAAAGAGTTCAGACCCTAACGTTTCATACTTAAAAATCTTTTGAGCAAAGCACCAGATTCTTATAATACAAGGAAGCTATCTATTCCATCGCAGTTTAACTCCAAGGGCATGGATGAGATCCAAAAGAACTTTGCTTATCACATCAGTCATACAGATGGTCTAGACAAAGTATACATCTCGAGATAGAGCCCATTAGATAACATTTCCCAAGTTCAGTTACTACTGCCAAGTACGTCACAAACAAATGCTTAGTCCTCTGAATTAAAGTTTGTGAGTTTAAAAAAAGAAATGCCTAATGGATACCTCATTAAAACAAAAACAAAGAATATCTATCTGTCTTCTATATTAACTACATGAAACTTTGTGAACAATAAGGTAGGTAGGTATTTTTTTTTAAGATTTAACTCCTCATATTATCTTACCAAAATCTTAGTCTAGGTGTGTAGATTTGCAAACTGACCTTACATTTTTGTAAAAGCCCTTTGGGCTCTGCCCAGTGGCTTTCAAAGTTCCCATGTTATCCTGATGGAGGAGATATTTGTTTACTTTATGATCAGCTGGATAATTTAATTACTGTTAATATTTTAGTTGCAATTTAAGGAAACATGTGCTACAAACATCTACTGACTTGGTTAAAATGAAATAATATTGACTATTTTAATTTGGGTTGGCGTAAATATTATAATGGCAAAAAGCGAGAAAGCCTGGACAGTTTGTTATATATACCTACTAAAAAAAGAAAACTGAATTAGCATTGTCCTGCATGTGAGCAATTTAAAGAGCCGATTTAAAAACTATGGTAAACATAGGAAAGTCGTAGAACTCCACCAAGTATAAGAAATAGGCATAATGTTTTATTTTTAGAATTTATAATTGTTATTATGGACAACCTAATGCAGCTATATGAGTGGGTAACATTTGTAGAAGACGCTAAAAAACAAGATCAGCTTTTGAAAAAGGATAAGATATTTACAAGCAATGTTAATTAGGCTATATCAAACTGCAATGTACATCGTGAGTATTTCCATAATCGTTGAGTCGACTCTTTTAGAGTCATCGGAAATTAAGACTGTTATTCGTTTTAAAATAACGCCTGTAATACTTTGCAATTGCTCGAAATTCAAGCAACAGGTATACTAGTAGTATCATAAATGCAGAATCTTTGCCAAATAGGGAATTTCCAATTAAGTTATATAACCTAAATAAGATTAAATGTCCCTTCAGCAGACAGCGCTGGCTGCTCAGACCTTAGATCTTAGATCAAGAAGGAGGGTTCAATTCCTGGCATGTCTTCAAAAGATTTTGGAGGTTTGGACAAAAGCGTACATAGATTTAACTTATGTCATAAAAATGTAAGACCAGTAATGTTTATATACATAGATATGAGTTTAAAACATAAGCTAAAACATAGTGCTAAATTTTCAGCAACATCATGAAGCAATCTATTGCACAACCAACAATACAAATACCAATTTTAAGCTCTTTACCACTTGGGTTTGGTTATGGTTATGCTCTCTACTAACAATCCACAACAGCTTCTAAGTAAAAACTGTATCTATATAATTCAATGATAATACTGACTTTTAATATTCTCTTCTATTATCAGAATATACAGTAAGCAAAACAAGCATTTTGAAGTTTTGTTTATAGACACAGCAGACAAAAAGAAAAAGTCACTCAACCACTGTTTTATTTCATAGTTATATCGCAAGCCGCCTCCAGCTGATGCAAAGAGAGTACAAGAGCAAGTAAGTACACAGTACAGTCATTGATTATACATCTCCCGTACAGTTTAACAACTAGAAACATTAAGAAATATATAGAGTTTTCAATTATTTTAAAGCCAATCATAAGATTGTGACATTGATGATCAATAGTAGTGGCCTAAGTATTAAAACCAAGCAGTTTTTACACCCTACATAGCTCTGAATATTATTATGGCGCCCACCATTTCATATCCTTAACTTCTCTTATTTACTATGGGCATATATAAAACATAATCTTCAAGCTATGGGACTATGGGTCCAGATTTTAAAACATCTAGTGTGGTTACTATCGCTATTCACATGCACCTGCTCATGAAGGCCTTGCCTAAGTTACAATAAATTAATTAATTTTTGTGCTAATTATAAAATTATACTGCATTTGGAGTTGTTATGTAGTATTTATAAATATTACAATTTACATATTTTTAAGCCCATTCATGGTCTTTAGGGTGGAACCGTATCACCCACGGCCACCTATAACTACAGGCCGCTGCCTGGTAGAATTGGCAACGTCGCAAGTGGCGTTGTTTAGTGACAGACGTCCCATAAGATAACATGGCAGACAGGTGACATCAGCTCATTAATTCGCGCTTTATTGATGTAAATTTAAATGTATGAACATAAATTTATTAAAATATTTAAAATAAAACATACACAATTGAAAACCAATTAAAATTGATATCTGTACATTTTAAGCGGAGTCAATATTGTCATAGTCCAGTAACCGAGTAACCAATCTTTCGTAAATACACAAATACCAAACAAAACAGCTGTTACGAAAACAAAAACAAAACTGCTACCTCTTTCCCGCCACGTATCGCTGCCGCTGGTTCCCGCCGGTCACTCACCCCCTTCCCGCTCCCGCACCGCTCCCGCCACTTTCCCGCTTCGGTTTGGACGAGCCTTAAATTTCAATAATTTTATCGTGACGTGGCTAATAAATAACAACTCTAACATCATGAGCCATGTACCCATGTGTTTCCGCGGCGGTACGAGCGGGAAAATCCAACATGTTTCAAACCGGCGGGACGATCGAACAACGCTGCGGGACGGCGGGAGCGGTACCGCTCTAGTGTGGGTGCTCACATCTAACACCATGTGTTTTAAAATCCCGCGCGGGAATTCGTCCCACCACCTACCCGCTCCCGCCGCTTTCCCGCTTCGGTTTGGACGGGCCTTTACAACATTACTTGCAACGTTGCCATTTCGAAGGCCGCGGCCTGGAGTTAAAGGCGGCCGTGTATCACCAAGTTGATCTTGATTACCACGAACAACAACAACAAAAATATATGGTGCGCTGATGTTTTTCTCTCGTTGCAGGTGGCCATCATTGAAGCTGAATTTTTCTACGCCAGCGCTGATTATGTATGGAAGTAAGTCTGCTAGGTGGAAGAGAGCAGTGAGAGAGATTGGAACCTAGACAGGTTCTAATGTAAATTCGTTAAGTTTTCATAACCACATTACTGGGCCTTACACCTATATTACTGGAAAGATTTTAATATGTGACCATTGCGAATTCCAATACACATTTGAAGGGTTTTGACTGCTTTCCCTTTATTCATCTACTTTCATTTGACTGATGCATTCATTCCTTATCCTTACAAAATTAAGAACCCCCTAACAAAAGAAAAAAAATAGTAATGGCACCAAAAAACTATAATGCTAGTACTATCTCACAAAACTACAGTAATCTATTTTCAGGGCATGATTAAAAGGAAATTTTATCTTAGTTTTAGTTACTGTGATAGCCGATGGGTGAAGTAAAGGACGCTATATAGCATAAGTAACAATTAATTGCCTTGGTTAAAAAAAATTAATTTTGGCTTGGTTAAAAAGTAGGCATATTCAAAAGAAATCATTGCGCTCTGTTGAATGCTTTAGTTTAACTTCCCCAATATTCATTCTAAAACTAGCAACAACTTCAACATGGAAATGGAATGTGAAGTAGGTAGGTATCGCCAAAAGTTCAACCAAAGATACTTTGATTACCTAAAATTATACAAGCTGTACGTACAGTTGGTTATTTACAAAGATGATAAGTTCAACTCTCCTAATATTGTGTAAACTAAATGTTGGCGGAAGATGCAGGCAACGTGGGCATGTACCAAAACTTCGGCTGACTCATTGAGT